CATATAACACCGGTCTTGAAAGACCTACATTGGCTCCCAGTACGTTTCCGAGCACAATTCAAAGTGTTGGTGCTGACCTTTAAAGCCCTAAACGGCCTCGGTCCAGTATATCTGAAGGAGCATCTCCTCCACCATCGTTCTGCCCGGACACTGAGGTCCAGCTCCGAGGGCCTTCTGACGGTTCCCTCACTGCGAGAGGCCAAGTTACAGCGAACCAGGCAGAGGGCCTTCTCGGTAGTGGCGCCCGCCCTGGGGAACGCCCTCCCATCAGATGTCAAAGCGATAAACATCTACCTGACATTCAGAAGACATCTGAAGGCAGCCCTGTTCAGGGAAGTTTTTAATATGTGACATTTTAGTGTATCTTTCATCTTTGTTGGAAGCCGCCCAGAGTGGCTGGGGAAACCCAGCCAGATGGGCGGGGTACAAATAATAAATTATTATTATTATTATTATTATTATTATTATTATTAAGCTTGTGGCAACTGCTATGTATCTAGTACTTCCTGGCTGAAGCCAGTGCAAAGCAACGGGCAAATTTCTCAGTTCAATTAAAAGAAACAGAGCAGCTACCCCTAGGTTGAAAGGGGAAAGCTTGCATTGTATTTAGTTACACTACTTTGGTGTTGCAAAACGCAAGAGCAGAATAACCCTAAGGGCAGCAAAGCACAGGGCAGATTTGATACATAGGATAAAATCCATTAGATTGGGCAACTGTCATTTGTGCCTCTTGATTACACATTCTACATGGGGTTGGTCTTGAAGAACACTCGGGCTTCAACTTGTGCAGGATGCTATTGCCAGGTGTAAAAGGTAAAAAGGTAAAGGACCCATGGACAGTTAAGTCCAGTCAAAGGCGACTATGGGGTTGTGGCGCTGATCTCGCTTTTAGGCCGAGGGAACAGGCATTTGTCCACAGACAGCTTTCCCGGTCATGACTAAACCGCTTCTGGCACAACGGAACACTGTGATGGAAACCAGAGTGCACGGAAACACTGTTTACCTTCCCGCCACAGCGGTACCTATTTATCTACTTGCACTGGCATGCTTTCAAACTGCTAGTTTGGCAGGAGCTGGGACAGAGCAACAGGAGCTCACCCCGTTACGGGGATTCAAACCACCAACCTTCTGATCAGCAAGCCCTAGAGGCTCAGGGTTTAGACCACAGCGCCACCCATGTGCCAGGTGTGTTAAGTTGCACCTAACCAAATGGTCAATATTTCTTCAGTTCAGTATGCTGTGCACTGATGCCCCATTCAATTCTGACTGACCGTTTAATTTCAATTCAGCTACCTTTAAAACCCTACATCGTTTGGGGGTAAATAACTGAAGGACTGCCTCCCTCCTCACCAAAAAAATATTCTACCTGCTCCAGAAGCCCCTGCCAAATTATGTTCAATGAGACAATGCCAGTTTTACGGAATGCCATTTTTAGGAAAACCTACTATGTGACTCCACAGGTGCCACCTGGCTCATCAGGGAGACCTCTGGGCCTACTTGATCTGGTGTGTTTTTTTGCTTTTTCTGCTAGCTGTTATTTCTTTTCCTGCATGTTTGCTCTATCACTTAGTTCTAAGAGTAACATTTGACGTGAAATAAAATCCATGCCATTCCGTCTTTGGTTATGGTTAACTGAAGCTTCAGAAGAATTTCTGCTGAAAAATAAGTGTCTATAAACCCTCCAATATTTGTTTCTCTGGAATCAACAGCCTGTGTTCCATATTTCTAGATCAACAAGCATATCTATCACTACTCAGTAGTTAGAAAATGATGGCATACTCAGATCTCTCAATCTCACTCTGCAACACAATAATGTTTTTCATCCACCCAACTACACTGAGCCCTCCTGCAGAGCGATAGATATCTGGGATAAGAGAGCAATATAACTTAATTGGTGGTGAAGTTGCTGTTAGTCTGACCCCTGCTAGGCCCAAGGAGCTACCAACTTGGAATGGACAGAAATGGATGTCAATAATCAAAAAGTTTAACTCTGTGTAAGTTTCTTGCAACTTTTAGATGAATCAGAGTGACAGACAACATGAAGTGTTGACATCTTGGGTGTTAAGGACCTGATAAGTATATCATGTTTTACCTTATTAAGAAGTAAGATAGCAACACATGCCAAAGCAGATGTGGAACCACAGCGTTATTTAATTGTTTTGAAGAATATACTGGAATGAGCAATGGCATGCCTAAAAACGTGGGTTCCCAGTTACATTTTGCCTTAGTTAGGAATTATGATCATCTACATATTACTTCCTCTAATATTTCAAATGCCTCTAATTTATTGCTTTGTCAATGAAACTACAATGCTACTTTTAAACAGTATTGTTTTCTAAGTACTTTATCTCAGTATGGTGTTTTCCTTTATGTTGCCATTTCTTTCCTCTTCAACATTTGTAACATTGTTTTATTTACAGAGATAATATTTTCAGATTTAAACATTGTGTATCAATAAACCAAGTGCTTCATTTCAGTTACTATTCTGAAATCACTGGATACAAGTTGTATCACTGGATACAACTTAAACTCTCTAACTCACTGGTTGCTAAAGTGCAAATTCAAACCCAGATTAGATCACAAGAAGCTAAGGTCATCAACTATAAATCCATTCTATATCTTTCTCCATGTAGTCCTTGGGTTGTTTTTTTTTTTTTGCACAGAGATGCAGATGATCCCATAACCAGTTACTGTTTAGTATTCTAAATCCTGGGTTTCTTGTCCTCTTCCCTCCTCCAAAAAGCCTGTAACTCACCAACACATTGTCCCATTATTGTCCAGGTAAGAAGTCAAAACCCCACTTCGCAGCCAATGCTCACCATCCTCTCTCCATTATCAGAGCCCTACCTCTCCCTTCTCTTTATGCTGGATTTGTTGGGCCAGTGTATCAACATTCACCATTTTTTACCCACTCACTAAATTTCTCCTTTCTCCTACATCACAGCATGTGACAGTACTAAAGAAGCCAAGCCACTAGCTAGCTTCTTTGGGGAAGCTGGTGCCACTGTGCACATTCTGAATTAGGAAATATACCAGGGTAAAAAAACTATTCTGGGGCAAGGAGGAAGCATCTATGAAAAAGAAACACTCAAAGATTTTTTAAAAATGGAACAAAACAAGAGTTGACAGTTGTAATCCTCTGTATTATTCAGGGAGGAGGAGGAAGCACCTATAAATAGGAAACTCGTAAAGATAAAAAATGAAGCAAAACACGAGGTTACAGTTGTAATCCTTGGGAGGGAATCAGAGGGGGAGAATGAGCTCAGGAGGACATACTTTTCAGTAAACATGTCTATGGCTGGCATGCACACATGCAACTAGGTTCTGGTATATATACATCCTACATACCTAAACGCTGCAAAATACTGGCTTGTGTTACTGCAACAATGTTCTCTCAGTGTCCTCCAAGACAGAGAGAACGGTTCTTTTTTACCAAAATGCAAGCAGACATCAGGTTCTCTTTCACCAGAATGCATGCAAACATCAAGCTCTCTCCAACTGTACATTCTAGGTTGTAGCAAGAGACACACAAAATGTTCTGCATAGGAGCAGATACAACAGGTGAGCACTGGTTAGCATAGGTTAGGAGTCTTTCCTTTGGTGGCGTGTAACTAAAAACAGCCTCATCCCCTAGCCAGCTGAACTTCAAAGATGGAGAGACATTAAAGAGAGAGTCTTTCTATCCTGCTAGATTTAAAAATGACAAATGAATCTTAGTCCACTATCTCAGAGAGTCATACTTGTGTGTGTGGTCCTTTTGGGTGTGTGTCCTGTATTCCAGTTTATAAATCGAGAAAGAGATGAGCCAGACACCTTATTGCGCACAGAAACTGGAAAGGCCAGAGTGTCATGCGTGTGAACGGACAGTCTCACTGGGATCATAGTCCCCAAAGACAATGCTGTGCAGCTCCAAAGCAAATAAACCGGAGTGAGTCACAAAACACGCAAAGAGCAAAAGTGTGTGCCTGCAGTCGGCAAAGAGCTGCTTTATGAAAGTTTCGAGCCATTTCTGCCCCTGAAAAGACGAAACTGGACCTGCCTTCAAACCCCCCCCCAAATCAAGATCTGAAACAGAGACAAGGGGTCTCAAGAGCCAAGGGTCAAAAATTGTCACTGAAGCCACCAATGCCTAGCCACACGCAGCCGAACAAGAATGAATGGGATGTGAGTGAATGGGTTTTAATTATGTGAATGGTGGAGCGGCGATTACGAAACTCCCGAGGATAATAACGCACTCTAAAATCCAGCTCGGTGTTCCAGAAGCCTGGTGCTAAAAGGGAAGGCGGAGAAATCGCTCGCACATTCACTCAGACTCTGAATAAGATGGTCTCTTTTTCTCTTTCCCCTAACACCTTTGGCAGGGATCTAAAAAGCTTCCTCTCCCTGATCATGTTAAAAAAAAGGTTTACAAACGCAATCGGATAGAAAAGCAGCCATCGCAGCTCACCCACCAGCAGCTAGTCCTTGGGAAAGTTTCACATTTCGCAAAAGCCTCGCAGCGCTATCAAAGTCCACAGCCACATCGTTGAGCGGAAAGAGCCCAGGCTTTGCTCTTAATGGGAACCATCTGCTGCTCGAACAAGGCAGGACGAGCAATTATGGTTTTTTTGGAAAAGAAAGAAGAGGCAGCAGCAGTTAACTCGCATTAAACCCGCCAGGGCAATGAGGTCCACTTTCCCCCTTCCTCCCGGGCCTCATCGCAGCTCGGCCGGCTGCTTCCAGGCGGGATCGGCTCGGGCAACTTCCTCGACGCGCCGGAAAGAGCCACCGAAGTGGCGGCCGCCCAGGGAAGGGAAGAAGCAGCCACAGGGGGAAGGAAGAGTGGAGGGGGGGGGGAGCTCCCCGAGAGGTTGCCTGGCTTACTGGCTCAGCAAATCAGCATTCCCCGGGAGGGGTTTCGAGGCTTTCAACAGGTGGAGCCGCCCCTTCGCCAACAGGGAGAGCTCTCGTGAGGCGGCGGGAGGAGGCGGGAGGAGGCGGGGGGGGGGCGCGAAACTTACCCAAGTTGGAAGGCGGCAGACGAAGGAGAAGACGCTGCTGGTCTGTGGTGGTGGTGGCGGCGGCGCCTTTGTGCTGCTGCCTCCGCCGCTCCCTCTCTCCCCAAGTGGCCGCGCCTCAGCCCAGCAGCCCCCGGAGGCAGCGCGCACGACCCGCAGCAGCCAGCGGCGGGGCCGGCGGGCTGCTGCCCATATTCTGAGGGGAAAGCAAGGAGGGCGGAGGCGCCGCCTCAGCAGCAGCCTCCACAAATCAGCGCGAGAGCCTCGGCGGCTTCGGCGGCAAGCAGCTTCCCGAGCCGAGGAAAGGCGGAGAAGGAGCTGAGGGGGAAAGCACCACTACTACTACTACTCCTCCGCCGCCACAGAGAGCCGGAGCGCATCACATGACGCGCCTCAGCGCCCGCCTCTCTCGCGCTCCTGGCCGGGCAAAAGCGGCGCGGACGAGACACACCTGTGGGCGCCGCACATATCCGTCGCCAGCACAAAGCCAGACAGGAAACTGGGAGGAGGAGGAGGAGGAGGAGGAGGGAAAGAAGAATAAATGCAGGGCAGGGAACCAGTCCGGGGAGGAGAGAGAGGCTCTCGGCCCGCCCTCCAGCCCGCCGCCGCCGCCGCCCGCCCTCGCCTGCTTTCCCCCCTCAGTGCGCGCGAAGGAGGGAAGCCTCCCGCGCGCTCTTGGCGAGGGGGTCTCTCTCTCCGACGCGCCTCTCCGCGTTGTTTGCTTCTCCGGCAGCCGCTCAGGCTTCCCGGGGAGCGGAGGGGGATTGGCTTGCTGACGTGACGGGGAGGGAAGGGGGGGGGACGCGGGGCGAGCTTCGGGCGGCGGTCGCCACGGCTCGGCTCCGGCTCCACGTTCCGGGACCTTGGAGGCGCAGCAGCGCGGGGATTGCATCTCCCATCATGCGTTAGACCTGAGCGCGCGCTCTCTCTCCGCATGTAAGCTAGGGAAAGTGTCTCTGAGCATGTGCAGAGAAGTTTTTCTTTGAGGAATCGCTGTAGGCAGCGAAATCATACCCTTCGACATTTCATAGTTGAAAATAGGGACGCCGTAGGGACATCAAGGTTACTAATACAGTGGTACCTCTAGATACGAACGGGATCTGCTCTGGAGCCCGTTCGCATCTAGAAGCAAACGTAACTAGCGACAGCACGTTTGCGCGCGCATGCACGCATCTCTTTTCGTCGATTCTGCGTATGACGTCATTTTGAGTGCATGCGCAAGCGGCAAAACCCGGAAGTAATGTGCTCCGTTACTTCCGGGTTGCCACGGAGCGCAACTCGAACACACTCAACTTGAAGCGTATTCAACCCAAGGTATGACTGTACAGTGATACCTCTGGTTGCGAACAGGATCTGTTCCGGAGGCCCGTTTGCAACCTGAACAGAACACAACCCACATCTGCGTGGGTCAGGATTCGCCACTTCTGCACATGTGCGTGGTGTCATTTTGTGTGTCTGCGCATGCGCAAGCAGCGAAACCTGGAAGTAACCCATTCTGTTACTTCCGGGTTGCCGCGGGACACAACCTGAAGAAACGCAACCTGAAGCAAACTTAACATGAGGTATGACTGTAATAACTTTACGGACGTGGATGGTGCTGTGGTCTAGACCACTGAGCCCCTTGGGCTTGCCGATCAGAAGGTTGGCAGCTCAAATCCCTGCAATGGGTCAGCTCCCGTTGCTCTGTCCCAGCTCCTGCCAACCTAGCAGTTCGAAAGCACACCAGTGCAAGTAGATAAATAGGTACCACTGCGGCGGGAAGGTAAATGGTGTTTCCGTGTGCTCTGGTTTCACAGGATTCTGTTGCACCAGAAGCTGTTAGTCATGCTGGCCACAGGACCCGAAAGCTGTCTGTGGACAAACGCCGGCTCCCTAGGCCTGAAAGCGAGATGAGTGCCACAATCCCATAGTCACTGGACTTAACCATCCAGGAGTCCTTTACCTTTACCTTACCTTAATAATAACTTTGCTATTTATACCCTGCACATCTGACTGGGTTGCTCCAGCCAATCTGGGAGGCTTTGCATCATTTCTAAAAGCATAATAAAACATTTTAAAAACTTCCCTATACAGGGCTGCTTCAGATGTGTTCTAAACGTTGTATAGTTACTACTCTTGGCTCAGGAGTCGCATATATCCATACCCTCAAACTTTTCTCCAAGGAAAAGTGGGACATTCCGGGATCAAATCAGAAACCAGGATGACTTCTGTAAATCCAGGACTGTCCCTGGAAAATAGGGACACTTGGAGGGTCTGTGAAATGTATCTCGTTTTGAATTTGCTAAGGGCTTCTGAGTGGGACATATGAGGGTGAAGAAACCAGAGAGGATGACTGGGAGATTCTTGTCCCTCTGAATAGGGGTTTGAATCCTGGTTTGCAAAGTACACTGTGCAAATACACTTCCCTGGCTTAGCATAAACCTTGTCTGTTAAGCAATCCTGCACCCTTTCAAAAGGCTCCAAACAAGCCTTTTATTTCTGTGGTTTTCAAAATGGCCCCCATTAGTATGAATCACCACAGATCCTTTTATGGCACTGTCCACTGAAATGTAAGCTGAGCTATATGATGCCAAACCTGAAGCCTTTCGCTTCGGAAGTAAGACTTTCTTCTGAGCAAACGTGTTAAGGGACAGGTTACAGATCCCTGAACACAAATATTGAAGCGTTTGCAATGGGAAAAGAGGACCATTCGTTTTAGTCTTGGGTGTGTGGAACAGAGTAAGCCCTAGGAAGCTGTGCAGGTACCTTTTCCCTCAGATAACTTTGAAATCTGGAAGCAAGTCTTCCAACTTTACAACTGTATGATTCCAAGTCTTGTGGTCTAATGAGCACTTACTTGGAAACAAGTCCCAGTGAATTAAGAGGCAGTTATTTCTACTGTGTGCATAGTATTGAACTATCAAACGGTTGCAGCTTTACTTTTTTTTAAACGTCTGTTTAATGTAGGTACACATTTCATGGGCAGAGTACCTATTTTCTCAACTATGGGTGGAGGTTGCTAGGCTGTAATCATAATACTTAGATAGCAAATGTAGCACATTTCAAGTGTTCAGGCTACTTCCCATACATCAGTTCCTTAATTCATACTACAGCCCTCTTAATTCTAGGTCATACATTAAACCAATTCTGCCAATTGGGGGAAGGGGGTGGGGGCTGGGAAGCTGGCAAACAGGCAAATACCAGCTTGCTTCAAGGCCTCCTGGTGACTTTGTGGTTGGCGAGGAGATTGCAGCTCACAAAATAGCTCCTGCATTACATCAGCATTAATGCAGTTTGACTTGCCAATTGCCTCTCTTGCCCCTACAAGTCAATGCTGCCTGCAACATATACCAAAAGAGAAGCGGTGAATCAAGTACCCTAATGAAGAGCAGAGACTGATGTGATTGGTATGAAGGACGCCAACATGAAAGGCAGTCAAAGCACAGCTATCTGAGGGTTCCCAGGGTGAGGGAACTGGTAGGGAGGGCCCTGGGAGCCATAAATTCCTGTTATATGTAGCTCCATCAGATATGCCGGCTGAAACATTACCTGCCCACAGACTGTCTCGCCAGAGTGGTCCATGCTCTGGTTATCTCCCCTTGGACTGCTGCAATGCGCTCTACTTGGGGTTACCTTTGAAGGTGACCCGGGAACTACAGCTTATCCAGAATGCGGCAGCTAGACTGGTGACTGGCTGCCAGGACCATATAACACCGGTTCTGAAAGAGCTACACTGGCTCCCAGCACGTTTCCAAGCACAATTCAAAGTGTTGGCGCTGACCTTTAAAGCCCTAAATGGCCTCGGCCCAGTATACCTGAAGGAGCATCTCCACCCCCATCATTCTGCCCAGACACTGAGGTCCAGCTCCGAGGGCCTTCTGGCGGTTCCCTCATTGCGAAAAGTGAGGTTACAGGGAACCAGGCAAAGGGCCTTCTCAGTAGTGGCACCCACCCTGTGGAACGCCCTCCCATCAGATGTCAAGGAACTAAACAACTATCTGACTTTTAGAAGACATCTTAACGCAACCCTCTTTGGGGAAGTTTTTAACGTTTGATGTTTTATTGTGTTTTAATATTCTGTTGGGAGCCGCCAGATGGGTGCAGTATAAATAATAAATTATTATTATTATTATTATTATTATTACTATTACTATTAGGCTGGTGACATAAACATGGTTTCCCTTACTGTAATCCCATAGCAGGAAATGGCTAAAAGGAATAGCCAAATCTGTTAGCATGGGGAGATCGGAATAATAGGAGGAGGAAGTAAACAGACTCAGGGTGGTGGGGAGAGCAGAAGGGCAACTGGAGAGGCAAAATGACCATAGGAAACCATGGATATATTCTTGAAATTGCCTTAAGCAATGTCCCTCTGGACTGGTACTGCCCACTCTGACTGGCAGTGGCTCTCCAGGGTCTTTCCAAGAAGACAACAGTTCTCAACACTGGAGTTGAGGACTTCCTAAAAGGGTACACCTTTTTTCGGCTTCAGAGTCCTTTTTTTCTGCTGTCACCCCCTTTGCCAAACCTGCGCTTTCCTATTCCACCACCCGCCCAGGGGTGCCAACTTAAATAAAATATTGGGGAGGGGGAGAGATAGATATGCCCCACCCCGCGTAATCGATCACAAGACGATGGAATGGCAATGCCTCTGAACCTGGTGTGGGGCAGGGGCTCAAATATTTTATTGGTGGGGAAGAAGGGATTTCTGCCCCGGGCCACACTCCTTTAGGATCCCGCATGTGAGGAGCTGGGTGCGGTCTGGCACACCAGCAACCTCCTGCTCGGGGTTTAACACGAGGCGTCCACCCGGTTGTGGCGACGGGGCTTGGCCAAGAAGCGCACGGGTTACAACAGACGATATTAAAAATAATAATAAGAGGCGTCGTCGGAGGCGCTCCTTCTCTCTCTCTCTCTCTCTCTCTCTCCCTCTCCTCCTCCTCCCTGGCTCCCCACCCTACTCCCGCCGCGTCCAGCCCAGGCCAGGAGGCACCGAAACCCGTCACTGTTCCCACGCCCCGCCTGGTCAGAAGCTCTGCTTGGGGATCGATGGAGCGCCGGGAGTCTAGAAGCCCCGTTCCCAGCAATAGCAGCCTCTTCGCCGGGCTTTTTGCCTATGGGAAGAACGTCTGATTCTCCTTCCTGTCCCTTATGGGCGGGGAAAAGAAGACGGAGGAGAAGAAGAAGGGAAAGTGGTTCCAGAGAGGGAAACGCCACTCCCCCGCGTTCCTCGCTTCCTCTCTGACGCGCCCCCGCGCAATCGCCCCGCTGTGGGTGCCGCAGCTGTTCTCCGGGTGGGCGGGCGCGCAGCTCTCTCCTTCGTCCTCAAACATCTGCCGGCGCTGCGGGAGGCGGAAGGAAGACCTCCCGGCTCCGCCACCGGCCTCACCCCGTAGGGGGCTGGGAGGTATCAAAAACAGGATCACCTTCCTGCTGTGTCGTCGCAGCCTTTTGGCGATCCTACCTAGCGCGCGTTTAAGAGGGTTGGAAAGGCGAAACCGCTGGGAGCGACTCTTCCCCAGCCAGGAGGATCGTGTAGTTGCTGAGCTGAGATCTGGTGGCATCATCAATCCGAGGGGATCGGGCCGCTCTGGGAGAAAAGGGGATTGTCTTGGGGACAAAACCCTAAGATGTGTCCCAGGAGGGAGAAAGGGACAGGTTGCAAGCTACCTCCCTATCATCCTCGTTCCTGTAAGTTGTTGGTCTAGAGGTAGGCGCAGCTCGTGATTTAAGCCAGGGGT